CTTTATCATAATTCTTCTTTTTCAAATATATTTTTAAATAGATTTCAAAATATACAAAAGTTTATTTTAGGCCATTTTTTGTAGATTTTTTTTAATATATATATATATATATATTTTTAAAAAGCATTTAAAAATATGTTTTACCCTCACTTTTTTTCTTCAAGTTTGGATGCAAATATCAGTTTGGCCTTTTAATTTTGAATATATTTTAGCAAAATATTTTTATAGATCTTTGAAAATATATTTTAAAAAATTAAATAAATTTTTAAAAGCATTTAAAATAGATTTTTCCTAAGAATTTGGATGCAATTTTCCATTTAACCTTTTAATCACTTAAAAATTGCTGAATGATGGTTTAAAAGTTGTATTTTTTAAACCAGGAATTGCGAATGTTTTAATGCCTTGCACAGGTTGCATATTTGAAGGTCTGAAATGTCAATATATAATGTTCAAATAAGACCGATGTGGGTTGAAATAATTGAATTCTCTATTAATTGATCGCAGAACATTGTATAACCACACATGACAAAAAAAATCACTTATCAAATAGTTTAATCAGGCTCAGTTTGCAACCTCTTACAAATTGTTAAAATAATATTTAAAAAAATCATTATCTATAAAACTTACCTGCAAACGAGGACAGTACAGTTTTCACTCCTGTGCCCTGCTGTCACTGAATGTCTTTATGCTGCTTTTAACTGCAGCTTTGAAAAAAAAAAAAAACAACAAAAAAAAAAAAAAAAAGCATTTACAAAACTAATGACTCAAACCTTGACCAAAAACCCATTTTTAATTTCCCCCCAAAAAAAAAACAAAAAAAAAAAACCTTGACATAAATAAGTTAGTTTTAATTTCTCAGTGTTTTTACAAAGTTATGTACACAGGTACATTTCAAAGTTTACACAAATACACAGGCAGTGAAAATTGTTCAAATATTAATATTTACTTTATAAATACAGTTATGCATCAGGTTTCACCACAGAATCTATTCGTCGAGTGTTTTAGATGCATACGGTTGGTGGGGCGAAAGGCCCGCTAACGCAAGAAAATAAGGCTAAATCAAGGGTGACTGAGTCGAACAAAAGTGAAATGGAAAAATATTATCAGTAGAAAATTTCACGCAAATTACAAGATAAATAATTTAAGAGGGTGAGAGACGCGTCTCCTCCACGGAAGTGCCTGATACTGGTAATACTGGTCGATGCTACAAGGTTTGACCTCAGAGTTTCAACTTTTACATCACCTTCAAAAACAAAAGAGGCTGAGATGTTCAGATCCAACCGGATCCATTAATAGAACTGATATTGTGTGTACCTCATCTGAAGGAAAACTAAATATTGTCTTACCCAGCCAATATAAAAACAGGCCTTCAAAACGTGAAATAAACATGAACAGCATTTCGGAAATAATCTACACACGGCAACGGTGGCTCTTCAAGTCAAACCAAACCCCAAAAAAAAGAAAGAAAAAGAAAATAGAATAAAACAGACCTTCAAAACGTGAAATAAACATGAACAGCATTTCAGAAATAATCTACACACGGCAACTCTTCAAATCAAACCAAACTCACACCTCCAAAAAAAAAGAATAGAATTTTTCCAACATAATACTAATTATGTGCTACATATGAAAAGGAACAAATATATATTTATATACACAGGTAGTAAGAAAAACAAAAATGAGCACACTGCTACATACACTGCTTTACGAGGTGTTTAGATCTCGCAATTCTGACTTTACCTCGCAATTCTGACTTTTTTTCTCAGAATTGCAAGTTTAGATCTCACAATTGTGACTTTTTAACTCTTTAGTTTATATCACGCAATTCTGAGAAAAAAAGTCAGAATTCTGACTTTTTTTCTCAGAATTGCAAGTTTAGATCTCACAATTGAGACTTTTTAACTATTTAGTTTATATCACGCAATTCTGAGAAAAAAAGTCAGAATTCTGACTTTTTTTCTCAGAATTGCAAGTTTAGATCTCACAATTGAGACTTTTTAACTATTTAGTTTATATCACGCAATTCTGAGAAAAAAAGTCAGAATTCTGACTTTTTTTCTCAGAATTGCAAGTTTAGATCTCACAATTGAGACTTTTTAACTATTTAGTTTATATCACGCAATTCTGAGAAAAAAAGTCAGAATTCTGACTTTTTTTCTCAGAATTGCAAGTTTAGATCTCACAATTGAGACTTTTTAACTATTTAGTTTATATCACGCAATTCTGAGAAAAAAAGTCAGAATTCTGACTTTTTTTCTCAGAATTGCAAGTTTAGATCTCACAATTGAGACTTTTTAACTATTTAGTTTATATCACGCAATTCTGAGAAAAAAAGTCAGAATTCTGACTTTTTTTCTCAGAATTGCAAGTTTAGATCTCACAATTGAGACTTTTTAACTATTTAGTTTATATCACGCAATTCTGAGAAAAAAAGTCAGAATTCTGACTTTTTTTCTCAGAATTGCAAGTTTAGATCTCACAATTGAGACTTTTTAACTATTTAGTTTATATCACGCAATTCTGAGAAAAAAAGTCAGAATTCTGACTTTTTTTCTCAGAATTGCAAGTTTAGATCTCACAATTGAGACTTTTTAACTATTTAGTTTATATCACGCAATTCTGAGAAAAAAAGTCAGAATTCTGACTTTTTTTCTCAGAATTGCAAGTTTAGATCTCACAATTGAGACTTTTTAACTATTTAGTTTATATCACGCAATTCTGAGAAAAAAAGTCAGAATTCTGACTTTTTTTCTCAGAATTGCAAGTTTAGATCTCACAATTGAGACTTTTTAACTATTTAGTTTATATCACGCAATTCTGAGAAAAAAAGTCAGAATTCTGACTTTTTTTCTCAGAATTGCAAGTTTAGATCTCACAATTGAGACTTTTTAACTATTTAGTTTATATCACGCAATTCTGAGAAAAAAAGTCAGAATTCTGACTTTTTTTCTCAGAATTGCAAGTTTAGATCTCACAATTGAGACTTTTTAACTATTTAGTTTATATCACGCAATTCTGAGAAAAAAAGTCAGAATTCTGACTTTTTTTCTCAGAATTGCAAGTTTAGATCTCACAATTGAGACTTTTTAACTATTTAGTTTATATCACGCAATTCTGAGAAAAAAAGTCAGAATTCTGACTTTTTTTCTCAGAATTGCAAGTTTAGATCTCACAATTGAGACTTTTTAACTATTTAGTTTATATCACGCAATTCTGAGAAAAAAAGTCAGAATTCTGACTTTTTTTCTCAGAATTGCAAGTTTAGATCTCACAATTGAGACTTTTTAACTATTTAGTTTATATCACGCAATTCTGAGAAAAAAAGTCAGAATTCTGACTTTTTTTCTCAGAATTGCAAGTTTAGATCTCACAATTGAGACTTTTTAACTATTTAGTTTATATCACGCAATTCTGAGAAAAAAAGTCAGAATTCTGACTTTTTTTCTCAGAATTGCAAGTTTAGATCTCACAATTGAGACTTTTTAACTATTTAGTTTATATCACGCAATTCTGAGAAAAAAAGTCAGAATTCTGACTTTTTTTCTCAGAATTGCAAGTTTAGATCTCACAATTGAGACTTTTTAACTATTTAGTTTATATCACGCAATTCTGAGAAAAAAAGTCAGAATTCTGACTTTTTTTCTCAGAATTGCAAGTTTAGATCTCACAATTGAGACTTTTTAACTATTTAGTTTATATCACGCAATTCTGAGAAAAAAAGTCAGAATTCTGACTTTTTTTCTCAGAATTGCAAGTTTAGATCTCACAATTGAGACTTTTTAACTATTTAGTTTATATCACGCAATTCTGAGAAAAAAAGTCAGAATTGTGAGATAAAAAGTCGCAATTACTTTTTTTTAATCTTTTATTCAGTGGCAGAAACGGGCTTCCATAGAATTGGTAGATATCGACTCAGAATTGCAAGAAAAAGCCCAAATTGTGAAATAAAGTTGCAATTCGCCCATTTATTTTTTTATCCCGTGGCGGAAACAAGCTTGCATATTTTCGTGTCATTATTCACCTTGTTTATTTTCCAAACTATGCACACTATAAATACTTTTACGTGCCATATTGTAAACGTGAACAATCATGTTGACTCTAACGCAGAGATAAGTCTGCGCGTGAGTCACAGCACACCACGAAACAGATGAATGAACTAAAAAAAAAAAACACGCTGGAAAATGAGATCATGAAACATTCGGAGTCCCACCAAAGCAAAACACTCTTCATTACTAATGTTATGACTTTACAAATGTGCTGCGACCGGCCGTTATTTGCTCAATGACTAGCAGCCCGGTGACATGTTGATTTGGCGGGACGTTTCCTCACATGACTAACTGAGGTAACACTAACATGCAGTTACATCAGATTTGTGGACTCAGTCTACAATCAATCGATTCAGACATGAAAAACGCCATTTAAATAGAACGCCTTCATGTTTAAATGCAATTCTGAGGTGTTGCATTTCAATGCATTGAGCCAAATGCGTGGAAATGTGCACGTATAATAAACGAGGGTCGGTTCTGTTCAGGTGTAAACACAGCAGAAAATGAGTGAACACTGCTGGCGTGTAAAATGTTTTTCACTCTGAAGGAAACTCGAGCTCTCGTAGTAAACCCACCATATTAACCCTTTCACGGACTCGAAGACTGCTCTTCAATTACACACTGAAACCAAATGTGAAGTAGAAAGAAATTGTAAGTAACTTTAACAAATAAGCAGAAGTAATGCATTATATTAAGTGGAATTTTGATTTAGAAAACCTATAGTACCTTGTAAAAAAATTTTTTTTTTTTACAGTGTACTTGAAATAAAACCCCCATATTTAACATCTAAATCAGATGAACATTTTAACATAGGAAAATAAAGGTAAACTGGGTACTAACGCAATATGATTAAAATGAGCTTAACATGCTATTCTACATTTCATGTGCAAACTGAAAACAGTATTTCTTCTGCGTAAATGAATGCAAATGTTAAAGTGTAAATAGAAACAGAGTTGTGCTCACCTCATGGGGTTTATGTGGGAGTCGGGCTGGGGTGTTTTCTGGGTTTTTGGGGCTTTCTGGGCGTCCGGGTCACTTCATCCACGCAGATGTGCGAGCGTTTGCTTTGACGCAACGAGTCTGACACAAACAAAAAACACACACATTTATCATCCCACATGGGTTAAAAATCTAACTGCTGACATTTAAGAAACAAATCCTGAAAATCTCATCTATCTACCAATCTGAATGGTTTATTGTACGTTTAGAGCATTTGCAACTATGTTGCAATGCTTCTTTTATTTGTAAAGTACACATTTTGCACATGAAGTGCATATGAGTTTATAACATTGCATCTACATTTATTACATCTATCACAATTTGGGCTTAACAAGGTTAAATCAAAATGCAATTGCACGCAGATAGATAGACAGACAGATAGATATTACAAAAATGAAAATTCATATATACAGGCTAAGCAGATATGTGACCCTGGAGCACAAAAGCAGTCACAAGTCGCTGGGGTATATTTGTAACAACAGCCAAAACAAAAATAAAAAACACATTGTATTGGTCAAAATTATAGATTTGTATTTTATGCCAAAAATCATTAGGATATTAAAGTAAAGATCATGTACCATGAAGATATTATGTAAATTTCCTATCATAAATATATCAAAACTTAGTTTTTGATTAGTAATATGCATTGCTAAAAACTTCATTTGGACAACTTTAAAGGCGATTTTCTTAATATTTTGATTTTTTTTTTTGCATTCTCAGATTTTCAAATAGTTGTACCTCGGCCAAATATTGTCCTCTCCTAACAAACCATATACATCAATGGAAAGCGTATTTATTCAGCTTTCAGATGATGCATAAATTTCAATTACAAAAAAAACCGACTGGTTTTGTGGTCCAGGGTCACATATAATTTTAAATATACTGGAAAAAGCTACCAGCTACCTGAAATTCGTGCTAGATTAATGAGATAATTCCGCACATACCGAGACAGGAGCTTCTTTTCCTCTGCTCTCGGTCTTTTTCGGGCGTCTCCGCGCTCTGCTCCGTTACCCGACAGTCGTGATTGCCGTTAACATCCACTTTATTGTCGTTATTCCCAGAGGAGCAAATGTGAAGATCGGAGCCCTTGCCCCGCTCCGACCTGCTGTAGAAACCGGGCACCGAGCGCATGTCCAGCGCTTCCCACCGGTATCTGCCGTCGGTGCGCGGCGTGTGCGTGGAGAAGTCGAAGCTCCACGCGTCAGACGACGCGTCCTCCATCACCTTCAGCTGCCGCTGGAAGTCTTTCTTTAGCTCTTCATGATCCACCGGACCGAACAGGTTCCGACACGCCGACGGCTTGGGCTGGTCTGACAGTCGCGCCTCCATCCGCTCCAGCGTCGGGCTGCCGTTAGACAAGCGCACGTTGGACATTTTACGGCGTTCAAGTCGAAAACACAAACCCAGCAGCTGTTACAGAGCGTCCCCTCCTGCGTTAACGCGATCCAAAGCGACGGGCGTAAATGCAAACTCGCCGCATGAGCGAAAAACACAGACGCGCGACGATCATCAAAACAAACGCAGCGCTCGCGACGGCCGCTCCTGTCAACTGCGCGTCGTAGTAAAATAGGGGAAGAGAAATAACAAGGCGAGGCTTTACGGCACCCAATATGGCGATGAAAAAAACGCGTGATTGACACAAAGAGCTCTTTAAACGACGAGAGGAACGCCGCGGATTGGTGCATCGGAGATCCGCCTTCTCTCAGCGCACATCCCCCCAACTCAGACCCAGAGAACGAAAATGAACAAAAACACCCTCGACGAGCCTCCGAGTTCTGACTGGAACGAGTCGATTCGTTCGAATGGATCATTTTCGAATCGGTTCACTAAATGATCCGTTGATTCGTTTCACTCAAGGTAATTGGTGGCACGGAAACGATCCGTATGGACGCCTAATCAGTATTATAAAAATCATTTCTTGTTTAATACAAATACAAATAATCTGAGCACATCAACTATCATTAGTAAGATTAAAGATTTAAGCTACATTTCTTCAGCACCAAATAAAAACGACTTTAACACAATATGGTTTATAAAATATGACATTTATGCAGATATTAAAAAAAGAATAAAAAATGACTTGACTTAGGATATCAGTACATTCATTTCGTACCACTGCACAGTTTGTACAGCGGGACATTAGTGACCACAGAACGTGTTTATTTGTTTAACGCTGCTAATGTTGTTACGTTTTCGAATAAACTGCTTTAAACTGTTTTTTCCCCTTCTTCTTCTGCTGCTGGCTCAAAAGACTTGATTTACACTCATAAGGTTTTCCTACACAGGCGAGTGATTCACATCGGTTCGACTGAATAATTTATAAGATTCACTTCAAATGAACGATTCATTCGCGAATCACAATCGAACGCTTCATGACGTTGAATGTCAAGTTCTGAAACAAGAACAATGGAATCTTGTGCAAATGCTAAAAATTCGCCGTGAAACCGAAACTAAAAGCTTGTAGCACAACTTTATCAGGAAATGTATGATTATTCTAAATATCGTGCAATAAATCACATGAGAATATATAGAGAAAGAAAATCAACAAAAACACCCTCGACGAGCCTCCGAGTTCTGACTGGAACGAGTCGATTCGTTCGAATGGATCATTTTCGAATCGGTTCACTAAATGATCCGTTGATTCGTTTCACTCAAGGTAATTGGTGGCACGGAAACGATCCGTATGGACGCCTAATCAGTATTATAAAAATCATTTCTTGTTTAATACAAATACAAATAATCTGAGCACATCAACTATCATTAGTAAGATTAAAGATTTAAGCTACATTTCTTCAGCACCAAATAAAAATGACTTTAACACAATATGGTTTATAAAATATGACATTTATGCAGATATTAAAAAAAGAATAAAAAATGACTTGACTTAGGATATCAGTACATTCATTTCGTACCACTGCACAGTTTGTACAGCGGGACATTAGTGACCACAGAACGTGTTTATTTGTTTAACGCTGCTAATGTTGTTACGTTTTCGAATAAACTGCTTTAAACTGTTTTTTCCCCTTCTTCTTCTGCTGCTGGCTCAAAAGACTTGATTTACACTCATAAGGTTTTCCTACACAGGCGAGTGATTCACATCGGTTCGACTGAATAATTTATAAGATTCACTTCAAATGAACGATTCATTCGCGAATCACAATCGAACGCTTCATGACGTTGAATGTCAAGTTCTGAAACAAGAACAATGGAATCTTGTGCAAATGCTAAAAATTCGCCGTGAAACCGAAACTAAAAGCTTGTAGCACAACTTTATCAGGAAATGTATGATTATTCTAAATATCGTGCAATAAATCACATGAGAATATATAGAGAAAGAAAATCAACAAAAACCCCCTCGACGAGCCTCCGAGTTCTGACTGGAACGAGTCGATTCGTTCGAATGGATCATTTTCGAATCGGTTCACTAAATGATCCACTGATTCATTTCACTTAAAGGTAGCGACCACAGAAACGCTGCTATTGCTAATATAGTTACGTTTTCGAATAAATCAATCAAAAAACTAGTTTTCAGTTGTATTTTCATGTATGTGCTCCATGTTGACTAAATGTTTTTTTTTTTTGCTGGCTCAAAAAACTTAATATGTAGATTTCATATAAGGGTTTCTTACAGGCGAGTGATTCACATCGGTTCGACTGAATCATTTATAAGATTCACTTCAAATGAGCAATTCATTCGCGTAAAAGCGTAGAACAACTTTATCAGGAAATTTATGATTGTTCTAAATAATGTGCAAGAAATCACATGAGAATTTATCATTTTCTGCTTAAAAACCTATGCAAAAAACAATGAGTAAGGAATCAATACATAAGGAAAGACAGAACTTAAGTCTAGTTCCTTGACTAAGATGTACTGTCAAAATAGTTTAAGACTAGACTTGATCTAAGAGTTATTAGCAGTGTGGTCATGGCCTAACAATTGAATATTGATGGTTCCTCAATATTGTTCTTGAAATTCTATGAGAATAAATCTATGTTCAAACCTTAGTAACTCTAAAATGTATCAATAAAACTTAAAAGAAATTCATTTTTATAACCTTCACAAGTCTAACACTTCCTATGTGATGAAACAAATGATTCATAAACTAAGATATGCATTTAAGATAGGTTTCATTACCTGTAATGTGTTAGTCTCTAGTATCTGAAGATGATGATTAAACTTGAGACACTAAAATGTGGAAGTACAACAAGAGATTCACTAGAAGTTTCATTTGTTCCTAGAAGCGAGAAGCTGGAGTTGTCAAAACATTTCCAGGAACAGCACTGCCCCGCTCAGACCTCGCAATAGTCCTGACAAGAACTGCGACTCACACTTGAGTCTGTATGAGTTCACGTGGGCGTCACAAACCTGCAGTTTTCACAAGTGTCTTCAGCTTTCTAATCTGACAACTGTTTACACACGGCTGATGATGGTGATGATGATATGCCTGTTTGCCAGTATCTCTTCTCCTGTCAACACCAAACTTTTGTCAGTTTAAGAAAGCTCAATACAAACTTGCACGATTTTTACCTCAACTTAAAGCTATAAAGGTTTGACAGGTTTTTTAGGCACTCAAAGGCTGTTTAATAATGGTTGTTTGTGCCACAGATCACCTTTGTGGAAGCTCATTTCTGCCACTGAAAAAAAAAAAAGAAGAAAAAAAAAAAAATTTTCATCTCACGATTTGGAGTCTGTTTATCCAAAACCCAAAATTGTGTGATATAAACAGAATTGCAAGATATAAACTCAGAATTCGGACTAACCCCCACCCCCCCGAAATTCTATTTTTTCGTTTCCGCCACGGAATAAAAGATAAAAAAAAGGTAATTGCAATTGCAAGTTTTTTCCCCTCACAAAACGTATAACTTAGCAAGTTTATAGCTTGTAATACTGACTATTTCTAGAAATTCTGAGAAAAAAGGCAGAATTGTGAGAAAAAAAAATCTGAATTGCGAGATGTAAACATAAAAAAAGTTGCAATTACCTTTTTTATCCCGTGGTAAAAAAACAAACAAAACAGAATTACAAGATATAAACTCAGAATTGTGACGATAAAGGTCAGATTTTATATCTTAAATCTGTTAATATCACACAATTCTGACTTGTTTCTCAGAATTGTGAGAAACACACTCCACATTGGGAGATAAAACACCAAACTTTTGTCAGTTTAAGAAAGCTCAATACAAACTTGCACGATTTTTACCTCAACTTAAAGCTATAAAGGTTTGACAGGTTTTTTAGGCACTCAAAGGCTGTTTAATAATGGTTGTTTGTACCACAGATCACCTTTGTGGAAGCTCATTTCTGCCACTGAAAAAAAAAAAAGAAGAAAAAATAAACTTTTTCATCTCACGATTTGGAGTCTGTTTCTCCAAAACCCAAAATTGTGTGATATAAACAGAATTGCAAGATATAAACTCAGAATTCGGACTAACCCCCCACCCCCCGAAATTCTATGTTTTCGTTTCCGCCACGGAATAAAAGATAAAAAAAAGGTAATTGCAATTGCAAGTTTTTTCCCCTCACAAAACGTATAACTTAGCAAGTTTATAGCTTGTAATACTGACTATTTCTAGAAATTCTGAGAAAAAAGGCAGAATTGTGAGAAAAAAAAATCTGAATTGCGAGATGTAAACATAAAAAAAGTTGCAATTACCTTTTTTATCCCGTGGTAAAAAAACAAACAAAACAGAATTACAAGATATAAACTCAGAATTGTGACGATAAAGGTCAGATTTTATATCTTAAATCTGTTAATATCACACAATTCTGACTTGTTTCTCAGAATTGTGAGAAACACACTCCACATTGGGAGATAAAAAGTTGCAACAGAAATGGGTTTCCACTCCTAGTACTTCTGTAAAAAATACGTTTATGCTCTTATGTAGCTTTCTAAAATGCTTTAATTTGGTATTTATTTCATTTTCTTGATCGTACAACACATTTGCTGTTTTTAAAATGCGCTTTACTTGAACTTCAACTGTATAAATTAAATCATATTTAATTTCATTTATGTATACCATCATATTGCTTCACACTCATGTCATTTTCTCCTCAGAAGCCGAACTGGGAAAAAAAAAAGAACATTACAATTTCACGTAATATACTTAATTAAAGAGTTGAACGGAACCCAGTTTTCCAGTGTGATTTAAAATCAGGAGCGTATTCACACATCAAACCGTGTAATTTGTCCAAATAAAACAGGCACAAACAAGGCAAAGTCTGTTCTCACGTCTTTGATATAATCCACAGACATTCACATGGGGTTTCTCAACAGCACAATTCAATTCAACATATAATTTCAAAGTCTTTGATAAGCTCGAGCAGACAGAGCACAGGTTACTGTCCTGAAACAAAACAGACCTCTACTGACCTCTGCTGGCGAGCGCTGGGATTTTCCACAGTTTGTTTTGAAGGCAAAAATGCATTTTAAAATGTCTTTACAAATGCTGAAGAGTCTGGGTTGGTGGTCGGTTTGTCTACGGAACAGAAATGTGTATTTCCAAGTTGGCAATTCACATACTAAGCCACTTCAGGATGTAAAAGTTCCTCTTTCCCACTCGGATCAGGCTGAGTCCGTTAGAGAGAACGTGCTGACCCAGAACCAGAACTTGCTCGGGGTTTGCTGCCCTCTGGTGGTTGATCCAAACTCCACCGTCCTTGATCATCTGATACCTGCTCATAAAGGAACAGTGAAAATAAATTAGTAAATAAAGGCGTCAATGCATTTTA